ATATGGTCGAACAAGTTTATTTTCATCTAGAAAATCGATTGATTGATTTATATTCGTTTTTCTATTTGTTATTTCTTGAGGTGAATGATAATCAGCAGTAATAATTGATCCATTAACTAATGTATTTCGTTTTCGTGTATGAACTAAAATTAATTAAACATAAACGATATTATATAAATATTTGATATTTATTTTTATTTTTATTATTGTTTCGGTCATTCGTGTCAAATAGAAAAAAAAATGCAATCTGAGAAAGCACACAAACATGCATTTCAAACAGGGAATAAATCTAATAGGTGAACAACGCATACTTAATCCATTATCAAGTGAAGATTTAAAATGCTGTAATCGTTTGATAATTCGATCGATAAATGTTTTTATAACTGCTAAATAAGAAATAAAAGGTAAAGAAAGAAAAATAATTGTTGTTATTTTTTAATTATTTTCTTATTCGATTTCATTGACAAGTTTTAATTAAAATATTCAATATACATTTGATTATTTACCTTTTCTACCATTATTATTAATGGATGTCTTCGTCTTCTTCAATGTATCTTCATCAATAAATAATGTTGTATGTAGATCATTGACGCACAAAGAAACATGATGAGTTGAGTCTTGTGATGATATTTGATTGTTTATCTGATCATTAGTAACATTATTAAATGGCGATGAAGTGATCAGATTATTGGAATTAGACATTGTTTCATGATTGTTTGTGTCTGCTATTGATGAATTAATCGGAATGAATCTGTCAGGTTGATATTGAACATGTACACGATTAGATGAAAAACGTGGTGAAATATTTGAAGGAATATTTGATGAATTAATATACTAAATATTCTATATGATATTAATATTCTACTGAAACTATATTTCTTACTGATGAATCTTGTTGATAATAAGTTGAATTCATTATTTTCGGACGTCTTTCAGTAATGTCTGTATCACTTGATGAATCTCGAGTACTTATTGTTGAACTAAATTGTCTTGAACGGATTTTTTCATTCGCATTAGGTATTGTTCCATTGATAGGTACTCGATAATTTGAAGTATCATTATTATACTGTTTTTGCTGGTTAATAGATGTCATAGATTCTGAATCTGTAATTGGATCAAGTGTAGTTCTATATGAAAGAATATAATTTGAATTTTTATCATTCATATATGGTTGTTGATCTTTTTCTAAAATTGATTTTAACATTGAATGATATGCATTATCAGTTGTATGACGTTTTTTTCTATCACGAAATTTTTCACGATATGCAACTGATCGATTTTTTAATCCTGTAGAAATTTTTTCATATGATGGTAATCGACGTTGATCAATAGTTGATGTATAACAACGTTGAATTTGTTGATTTGGTTCATAATATTGTTCACGATAGAGTAAATCAACATCATCTAATTCTTCAACAGGTAAACGTTCAACAATAATTAAATCACGTTGATTTAATGCTGGTAAACTATAATTTTCAGTTCGTTGATATCGTGGAAAAATAGGCCGTTGTTGTTGTTGTTGTTGTTGACGAGAAGATGAACGAAAACGTACATGAACTGTATCAGGAAATATAAAATCAGATATTCGATTGAAACTTTTTGATACTGGTCGAGACATTGGTGGTGGTGGGGGGTAATTAGATGTTTGTGGTCGTCTATTTGAAGTAAACCATTCGACTGGTATATGTTCATAACTATACATAGTTTTATATACTTTTTATTCTATCTAAATTTAGACGATAGACATTTTAAATTACATACTAGTCAGACATCCTTCGATGACACTATTCAACACTTATATTGTACGTATAGGAATATGGGTAGTTCCTCATATAGAACATTATACTTAAATGGCATCAGAAGAATGAGTGTATTCAAGTGAGTAATAGACTGTAGAAGAGAAAGAAAGAAAAAAAATAAGCAGCATATACTCATAGACATGATGTCTGAATAGGTTGATTGTAGTAAATATTGACAGCATGCGCAACGACCGGCTAAAGTAGATCAAGTTTCATTTGATTGTTGATGTACAGGAAGCAATAGGGAATACTTGCACAATAATATATTTATATATATATATATATGTATCAGATTTAATTAGACCAATGACAGTTCGTCATTTTATTCTACAGTATTATATATATTCTATATATGCTAGTAAGAGTAAGCAATTCAATGATTGTTGCACTGATGCTTGTATATAAACGTATCCCAATGAAAAATACCTAACGACATCCATTTATATGTATATATGACGAATGATAAGACCCATCTTTTATTATAAGAGACATGATCAAATGATGATCACAGAAGTTTCTATAAAGAAACGTGAATGGGAAAAAAAATACAAAGAAGCGACATCTTATTATGCTTTTTGGTTATTTTATAATAGAAGCACATTCGTGCGTGTGCGTGTGTATATCCATAGAAAAAGATAAAAAAAAAAACTAACAAAGCTGTAAATCAAGGTTAACAGCTACTTAGAAACTTAGAAATAAATGTTGTATGAAATGACATGATGACAACATCAGATATTCATTGATGTACATTAAATGACTGCTGTTAATTATACTGTCAGTCCTACCCTTCTTTTATTGAAAGTTTAGTGTAAAAGAAAAATACAAAATAGATAATCTAATAGGTCGTATATATATATATAGAATAATGTTTAGAACTATTTACTATATCACCTCGAAATGAAAGATTATAAATCGAATATTTCGTTCCATATATATATATATATATTTATAACAAGAAAAATGTTAAGTGTTTTGATAACAGTTGCTGTCATCAAAATAGAATATGGCCTTTTTGTACATCTATGATATCCTGTTGACTATTAACAATACTCATTCAACATAGAGAATAAAATAACATGCATATCATGCATTTATCTATATATCTTTCTTTCTTTTACCTGATATATATATATATATATATATAGATCGATCTTGAAATACTTTCATCGACAGGTCAAAATAACAAACTGATGACTACATGTTACAATAGTGAATGACGAAAGTAAACTTTTGCCTCTCTTTCTCTTTATAGAAAAAAAAAATGTGATCCGCATCTACAATATTCAACATACGATATTTGATCTTTCTATGGTTTGTCATACAATATCCACTCACTTAACCATTGTATATACGCATAAAATATAACGAATATAGTGATAAAGATTATAATAGGCTATACAAGTTTCTCTTGTCATTTCCCTGTCAAAATGGCATCGTAAGAATTCGCAAAAAAAAATGCAAGAAAAACAACAAAGATGTATGTTTTCTCTATTTTTTTTGCGCACATTTATGTATGTAAGTGAATACAGCTATAGTGAAGAGCATTGGCTGACAGATAAAGTAAATGGGAATGTTTTTTTTTCTACACAATCGTATACAAAAACTAATAGAAAAGATAAACGACCTTCGCATACAATAAATTTAATAACGAAAGCATGCGGATGCGTGTGTTACATTTAATAGAAAGAAAAAAAGCAAGAAAAGAAGCAATAGAAGACAAGGAAATGACTTCTAATCTTTACAAGACAACAACAAAACCACATTTCTATCATGGAACGACTACTTCAAAAAAAAAACAATATATCTTTAAATAGTCTAGTTTTTGACCTTCATTTACATGTTGTTTGCCATATGTCAATAAGAAGGATACAAATTGTTACATGCCAATATTATAACTATTAGTAGTTCGGATCTATTCTTCTTTTTTAAAATACATCTTATGCATATATAAATATACTATAGTGAAGTTTATTTGCATATTGTCAATGCAAACGAAATGAAAAGTGACATGGATTTGAGTAAGGTCGATCAAAGAAAATGAAACATCTAAATGTATAGACCTTGATTCATCTTTCAATACATCACATAAAACAATATACATTTATATGATTTTTTTTATAGTACATTTAAGCTATGTTATGATTCGTAATAGTCAATAAAAAAAAAAGAAAATTTCATAATAAAATTTTTTAAACTAACATTAAAAAAAAATATAATACAAAATCTAATTAATTTTATATATCAATATACTAACTATTATTTGAAATTTAAAAATGAACTATGCATTGGTTAGTTTTCAAAATATGTCCTCTCATTACAAACTGTATAATATATTCTTTATTTATAAGTCTTCATATAGATTACCGTTTGTACTGATTCAATTGATGATAGTAGGATTCATAATCTATAGTGTATTACTTCAATGCAATCACATTTATTGTAGAATCGAAAAATATTGATAAATCAAATGCTTGTTATAATCGAAGTTGCAGTGCGATGTAATGATAAGAGAATGAAACGAAAGAAAAACCTTTCTTCACGAAGAAGCGAACATTGAATCTTTTGTCTATCGAATAGATGTGCTATCAGCATACTAAAAGAATGTTCGAAAAATAACTTTACTATTGATTGGACTAAAAATGTATTTACCTATCATACAAAAAAAATATTAATAGTTGATTAAGTTCAATCAATAATGAAGTTGTATGAAATAAAATTTTATAGAATAGACATCTCGTAGAAACGGAATTATAACTGAAGGACAATCATTTGAGTATGATAAAATTCTGAATCATGAAAAATAAATTATGAAATGCTTATTAATTCTTTGTATTACAACAAATGATTGTTTATTCATTACTGATGCGATTAGTAATAACAAGCAAACTATATATATATATTGATTATTGAGAAGAATTTGCAAATAATGCAAATAGAAGATTCATATTTTATGAATACTTTTAATATCTTATAGTTAATAATATTTAAAAAAAATAATACTAATTGAAAAATTTGATAATAATTAAATAAAATATATCATCATGTAGATAGATTGTGTGACAGAAAAAAGGAATTAATCAGAAAATTAAATTTTCTTATTATTTCTTTGTTTAATTGTAATAAAAGCAAACTGAAATATAAAACTAACGGAATTTCAGTAAAAAAACACAAAAGAAGAGCCAACAATAAAATGAAATATTTTTATTGAATAAATGAAGGAGTTGAATTAGTTCGATAATAAAGTGAAGGATAATTTTTAAATACTTTATTTGTATTTAATAATGACGATGATCGAATAGGTACAGTAGTTGTTGTTCGTTGTGCATCACATGTTGGTATCAGTTGTTCAATAGCTATATCTTCTAACGAATTATCAGATTCATATTTGATTTGAACATTTCGATTTGTATTATCAATTGATGGTAGTGAAGAAGATAATGTTCGATGAAATTTATGTGTATTTTGATGATTATGATTACATGTATTTAATTGATTTGTTGATATTGAAGAATAGATTTTATAGTGATCCGATGGAAATATAATAGTTTTTTTGATAGAAGGATATGAATCATTTGTATCACATTTTTGAGATGATAAATTTATTGATTGAGAATCTGTAGAAAATTCCTAGAAGATTTATGAAAAAAATTTCTTTTTTTTTTCTTTTTTTTTATTAGTTACTTTTTTAGATATTTCTTTGGACTTAATTGATGATGTATTATTAATATAATCTTCATTTTGTAATGTTGTATTAGTACTTCTTATATGATCACCAAAATGTGATTCAATTATAAGATTATCATTAATATCAAATGTAGGTAATTTAACTTGAAATGAAAAATTTTCTATTTCATTAATATGTTTAGTTAATGTTTCAATACGTTTTTTTATTATATCAATTGATTTTATAGAATTTTTTGTTGTTATTTTTGATGATGGTGATAAAAGTAATGAACTAAGATTTCCTTTTTTCATGCGTATTAATTCATGTTTATCAGAATTTATATTTGACATTTCTTTATCAATAAATAATTCATATTCTTTATTTAATATTTCATATTCATCATAAATTGTTTGTATAAGAAGTTTATGTGCTTCATTTATTATATTAATTGTATCAATACGCCATTTATGACATTGTTCAATTGTTTCATCTTTTTGTTTTTCAAGATCACGTTTTTTATGAATTATTTTCATTAAAAGACAATGACTTAATTCATGTAAATGTTCAAATTCAGTAGTAACCTTTTTATAATGTTTATTACAACATCGAATACATAAACGTTGATTACAATGACAACATTGAAATAATCCTTCATGTTTTTGACAATGATCACACTTTACTGATGTTGCCATTAAATCAATAGATGATTGATAATGATGATGAGATGAAGATAATTGAGGATCACTAGTTTGTTTACCAAATTGTTTTGTTACTGATGAAGACTGTATAGGAGATAAGAAGATTTTGTCAGTCAAACATTTAGTATCATGTAAGTAATGTTGACGCTAAATAAACAAATCAATTAATGAATTTATCGATAATGTATTGTTCTGTTATAAATGATGAATTACTAATTTTTTTTTTTTTTACAATAATATGGCATTCAGAGTATGTCTATAGTACAAAATTTTATCTCGAAATAAGAAAAAGAATGTTTTGAATTTCAAGAATATATTGATATACATATTTATGTAAATTCTTTACAAAAATAGATCTTTAAATAATTATTTATAGATTTAAAAAGAAATACTTAAATATTTAAATGAGTGATTAATATAAGAATAATATATATATATATATATATAATGTTATGATTCACAAATTCAAATAAATAAATAGATAACATACAAGTTTTCTTATTGATGGTGAATATTTTCCTCCATCATTGGATAATAATGACGCATCAAATTTATTCAAGCCACGTCTTAACATGATTCGATCGAAATACTTGGTTTTTGCAGCCATTGATATGCACGCATCTAATCTTAACTGATATAACGTTGTACGTCCAAAGACATCAACTAATCAAAAGAACGAGAGAGAGAGAGAGAAAATAGAGAAAGAGATATGTCTGCAGGATGTGTTAATGGGAGAAAATAATCAGCATAAGAGCACGTATAAATATGTGGGTGAAGTAAAAACAACAACATATACAATCTTTTACGTTATCATTCAGTATCTATATACATTTGACCTACAGAAAGATTGAATTGTCTATCTAATCCATTTTATATTTGTAATTACTTATAAAAATGAATGCATATATTCTTAAATAATATAGTGACAAAAAAAAATCAACGAAAGCTTTTTTTTATTTTATTTTTATTTACAATGATATATTTCATATTATGATAAACCATCTATTCATGTGTATATAATGTCACTTTGAGAAGATAAGTATCTGTCTTTTTTTTTGTCAGAATTGATGTAAGAAGCTATTTTGACTAAACAGAACAAATGAGATGTAAGAAAATATTTGTCTTATGTTCATAAGTATCATAATGACCTAAAGAATGATTGGTGAATGTTTAATTATGAAAAAAATATCTAGATTATTCTTTACATGAAGAAATATTACAAACTTTCTTGTGATAATGATTATAATTTTCAAATCTAATCTTTATTTATCATCAAAAGTTACAGTTGTTTTTCTCGTTATCGAAACCTTTTCCTGCCTATGATACAGATGGCCATGAAGATATGTACGCTTCATTGGTCGTAGATTTTTTTTCTTATTTTTCGCTTATTATCCGATATTCAAATACGAAACTGCGTCAATCTCACTTCTTTCTTTCATCTATATCGACATTAAAATTCAAGAAAAATAATGCTAAATTAACCTTTTAATAGTTTGTAATATATGTTTTTCTTCAATGTAATTATTCTAATGATTTTTTCTAATAATAATAATAATAAGAAAATATTTTATCTTAATAAAGCAACATAGTTTCATAAACAAAAAACTAGTAACAATACATTTTAGTTATATCGAATGACCATCTGGATATACACATATGCAAACGAAAAGATGATGATCAGTATAAAACCGCAAATCTATGAAAGATCAAGTTGTTCGTCTACAAAAAAAAAATTGATGATCTGAAAGCTGTCATTCACTGTTATTTACGTTTTATTTTATCGAGCACGTTTGGTCTTGATTCTGAGAAGATATTGCTAAGTAGCACATCCTTTCACTAGCAGATAGCATAGTTATCTGGAAAAGATTAAGTAACGTGAGTCATTTAAATAAGAAATACTTAGAATAGATAAAAAAATTCTGATAATAGTAAATAAAAATATAAAACAAATATTTTTTGATTTAATTTTATTTAATTTTTTGAAATTGTTGTTTTTAATTAGTTAGCTTGAAAACTGCATAAGCAAAATTATGTATCATTTATTTAATCAGTTCAGCTACGTTCGATATGTTATTTAATCAAAAATTATATAGCGTCAGATCCAGCAAATAAGACGGATATGGCATTATATTGATGTCTCCTTCCGTTACATAAGTAATAATATTGAATGAGTATAAAGTCAACGATAATCGTTAAGCAAACTTGTACATTTGCATCTAATGTTTCCGTTCGTTTTCATATTTCATTGAAAAAAGATTTCAGATACTTTTCGATATTAGAGTTGTTATTGATAATCTTGTTTGTATATGCATTATATAAAAGAACAGGGTTATTTCATTTAAAGAATACACAAAATAATTGTTTGTAAGTTATCTTCATTAATCCAGTTAGCATTAGCTGATTTACCTGTATTGATCAAACACATTTCTATTGGTTTGTAATCATATTACGTAATCGCTATGATTCATCACGAAGTGTCGGTGATTTCTCAATAGAAGTTGTAAATCATTCCTGTTTGTATTTATCAGTGAGTTAATGGGCGACGCAACATAATGTGATTTTTCTCATATTTAATTAGTCATGGATAATTTGTTCTGTTGTGCTATAAGAGATAGAGAAGGTTCAGCTATAATATTATCATAAGTTGAATATGGATCATTGTTAAATCTCCTTTTCTTTCATGAAAACACTTCGTTCATCTTGCAATTGTTGGATACGATGGAATTTTAGGTTCTAATACTGTTATAAGTTTTTCGTGTATTGCACCTACATCTATTCACAATGTATTGTGAATTTCAATATAATATTGATTGAATTCATTATTGATACAATAAATCTTTAATGTTAAGTAACCGATTAAATTACTAGCAGTGTTATCAGAACTTTTGATCAGCTCTAAGTGTGTGTCAAATTCTTCAAAAGATATATCAAAAACGTTGATACTTATTAAAACAGTTTTGTTTGATAACCTTTTTTATTGTCATCACCATCTAGTTTGCAATGCTTAACGAGATCGTACATATTACAAGAAATCTAATGTTATACTATACAAATGATTCTAGCCCTGTTTGTATATTATAGGACATTTTGTCCATGCTGACATTTTGCGATTTACTTGTGAACGATAAATTTGATTGAGCCCATTCTATTACTACAGCTAAGTGATGCTTAGAGGAAAAAAAAGAAGATATTTTTTAAGTCGAACGAGCAACGTCTCTTTGAGACATTTACTTGAGAATTTTATTCATATAGCAGGACAAAAGTGTATGAATAAAGACTCCGTATTCTTTTTTAAAGATTTATTGTAGTTGCAGTCTATAATTTTTGATTAAAATCTATTCCAAAATGTACTCTATTGTTAAATGAAAAGACGAAACTTTTATATTGTTTTACAAGTGAAAAAAATGACGTAGATTGTGCTAGACACGATTTCTATAAAGTGTTTTGTAACAACGGTATATCTAGAGACCACGATCCAGTGATGAATCTGAATCCTTCATTTACATATTCTAGATCATTCTCTTCGAAAATATTGCAAAAACTTTCAGAAAATTTCCACTTTTGAGGGAAAAAAGCTTGTTAGCGCAGCTCCTGCGGAGCTGAAATGTGGAACTCACATATATTCTTAAATCTTAATATTCTAATACATCATATGTAAACTGAAAAATTCCGCGTACACTGTAGTTGTTTTCATTGATAGTCAATGACAAGAGCGACACTTTGTTATTTATTTCTTCATTTAAAACAGAAATTTTTTTTTGTTTCAGAGCGCCCTATTTTTATTTTGCATTGTTGCTATTCGCTCATTATCTTTCATTCTTTTTAATTCATTTTTCGTAATTCAACATTCTTATTATTATAATCATTAAATTAATCAGCAAACAAATCTGTTTCACATATCCATGATATATACAGAAGACCTTATGCACTATTATATATATATTAATCAGCTCACAAACACTGACGTTGATTATCTTTCAAAATTATAACTTGATCAATTTTTCAAAAAAAATTGAAAGTCTGACGCTTGTTATCCTTAATTACTAAGGTCTGTAATGGGGGGGGGGGGGGGGGGAGTGTT